TATTATTTTTACCCATAATTCGATGCAGGGCTGTCTGATTTGTATTCGTTTTTTTTGCCGAAATCTGAAGGTTACATTCTGTAAAACATCATCATCGACGAAGCAGTATTTTTGTTAATGAAAACTCGGAAGACCTGTTCAAAAGACAAGCAAAAAAATTACCGAGGAACCTCAAAACCGGTAGACCCATAGTTTCTTGGGTAAAGTTGTTCAGAATTATGCTTAAAAATATACCACTTATTCGTTCCCATGAGAGTCGAGTCTACGAAACCGGATTTATATCCGTTAAAGAACTGTCATCTCGGCAACATGTGAAAGTGACAATCAGCTGACTTCTAAGCCTGAGTTTCGTACTAGTGTAACTCGTTCTGCAAATGGTTAACTTCACTGTGGGAATTATGTATGCATTAAATGCGATCAGCTCTGGGTTGAAAAGTTAAAAATATCATGCACCTTTCCTCTGCTCTTTTATTGCAGTTTCAATTAATTTTAATTAATTCTCTTCTACACTCATGAGGTTTTATAACTGTTGCACTACAACAGTAAGTACATGATTCTTAGACTTTAATGAGTGTGCATAAATAGCACTCAATATTGCTGGTGGCAAAGATTTCAAAATTTCCAGTTCAGCGTAATTGTGAATCCTCACAGCGCAAAATGTGTAAGCTTGAGCCAGTTCGAGCATCTCGGAACTGAGAAGAACTACTCAACAATAAAGTTGAGTGCTATCTTTTAGATGCAGAGTGCACACTACAGAGGTTTTTAGGTTGTAAAAAGATATTAAAAAACGATAGTACAGATTATGTTTTAACCCGTCAGAGCTTTTTAGTTTTGATTTCTATAAACAATTATAATTGGATATAAGTCCAAGTCTTACAAAAAAAAAAAAAATACATTTGTATTTTCATATTCGTCAATATCTTGTAATTTGATTCATAATAGTAGATGTGGTCTAAAATATTAAAATATACAAAACTAAACTCGGTAACATTGACGATAGAGGCCATACCACTCCAACTCGACAACTTTATTTATCGAATACAGTTATTAATTAGCTTCCTCGTTTATAGTAGATATCTTTTGAAAGCTCTTGGGATTTCGGTTGAGCTCGAGCAGCTATACATAACCGTTATGGTTGGTCCTCATAGTGGAAAGTATTGTAGTAAGCCATGACTACTATTTTATTAGCAGACCACAAATACGCTCAGAGTAACACATTTTAAAAGCTTCTTAAAAGCACGTCAAGCATCAGCAGTAGAAAGCAAAGCCATAACTCAACTCAGCTTAGTCCTCATTTCTCGAAACACACAGAATTATGTTAAAATTGAAATAATAATAATATAAATAGTATACATATGTGCACCGGTCTGCTGAAGCCTTGAAGCTGCACTGACAGATTGATTAAGTAGCTGTGCGTCTCTATATAATTTGAGAAAACATACATATGATAGAAATAAAACGAATATTAATTACTACTCATGTAAACGCATGCTCGCTCGCATTGTAGGTAAGTACACTGTGAGTATCAATGGAAAATATAATATAAAATATATTTTATATCTTCAATTTCACATACGAGTACTTTGTGGTTTCGCAATGAAATGTTTTCGCGTTGAAATATTAAAATTGCAAAGTGGCAAAGCGCTTAAGAGTGCTGTGAAATTATAAATGAAATGCTGCACTGCCACTTACGAATTTGCAGCAGGGGCTGTTTTGCGCACTTTGCGCACTAACGTGCAACAATGATACTGCAACATTGTTAGTTTAATTCATTGCTTGTTGTAAGCGCATTTTGTAACGGTACCGTTCATAGTAAGTGCCGTTTCAGACAGGGACGCAAAAGAGTCTCAAACCAGTTTATTGTGGGCGAGGGGACGACGAGGAAAGACGAAGGGACCGTGCCACTCGTGTTCGGGTGGCACGCTTTGTGTTCTTTTTCGTAACAGCTCGCTGCTACCCTTTTCAGCATTCCTTTTCACTATCAAATCCTTTGAATGGTTGCAAGAGCGCTCGGTTTCAAATGAATTCGATCGCAAATTTGAGTTCTGTTATCTATTTTTGTATGTAATATGCAAATACGTATGCATAGAATAATAGAAATATTATGACAAATTGTAAATAAGGAGAAAATTAAGATATAGATTATGGAGTAAAGAAATTATGAGTTTTTAATACTTAAAGATTAGGAAATTCCTATTATAAATTTGGCCTTGAAAATATTAGTAGCGGATATTCAATACATTCTTGTGGATTAGGGAATTCCCGTCTTTAGTATTTCTTTGAAACTATTTAGCGGGTAGGTACTTGTATTATGCATATTGTTCTACCATATTCATGGTAATTCATTGCAAGCAAAATGTGTGACCATCATCTCAACATACAAATGAAATACGCAGCACGCAGTGTTGCGCAGTCGAACCGCACAAATATTTACGAACATTTTGTGAAAAGGAATGCAGAAAAACTAGACTCGAGTTGCTGGACTCTTTTTGACCGTGTGAATGCCCAGAGCGACACTAAAAGAAAATTTGAAAAAGATCAGACTCTTTTGCATCCCTGTCTGAAACGGCACTAAGCGAGGCAAACCCCCGCTGAAGCGTGCTGGCTTAGATACACACACACATACATATGAGTATGTATGTGTAAACAACTTTGAGTTCTATACGTGCTTGTTGCAAGTAATTAATGTTGCGCGTGTGGCTGACAGCGTGTTAGCGCGCCCGTACAACAAAACCGTTGCATTTCATTTTTATGCACATATGTACGTGTATGTGCATGGGAGGGTGCACAATTTTGTAATTTACCAATACACACACACTTACTTGGTACCATGCCACATAGAAATTTATATTTATTTTATCCAGTATTTGTTCGCGGTAAATTTGGTTAAGTTATGGAAGCTGCAGTTAGTCTTTTTACGAATGAGCGTTGCGTGTTGTATAACACTTATGTACATGCAGTGTTGGAAAAAATAATAGGGACATATAGATATGTTTAAAATTTTCAATTATATGTTTAAATTAAACGATTTACAATAAAATAATTCCAATATTATCGTTCATTTAGATAATTAATTAGCATTTGAGTAGTTATTTAAGGTTTATTTGAGCTCACAAAGTGAAAACGGATCCACTTTGTATTTCAGCTTGGAAATAAAAATAGAGACAAACCTTAATTAATTTTTTATTGTGTTATTTAATTTAATTATTTATTACCTATCTTCCATTCAAATCTAATATTTTGTTGATGCTTCTTTCATTTTAACCACCTCCTGACATCTTCGCGGAATGGAGCTGACGAGGTTAATGCAAGTTGTGACCGGTATTGAATACCATGCTTCTTGGACTTACCTCCATAATTCGTGCTTATTTTTCCATTTATATCCACCGACTGATTTCTTCAGTACTCCCCATTAGTGTTCTAAAGGGTTGAGATAAGCTGTTGAGCACATTTTTCTTGTATCCAATAAATTGGCCAAACTTCAGCCGCCGAAAAGCATAACTATAACATTATTGATCTGGCTCCGTGTTTAATTTTTTTTTGTGTATTTTTGAGGTCGAATTCCGCATTTTGAGGTCGTTGTACAAAAGTTTTGCCATCGGATCCAAATAAATTAACTTTCGTTTCATCCGTCCACAGGACGTAATTTCAATTTTCACGAAGCATTTGCCTCTGAGCAAATGCAATTTCACTTTTTTACATTGTGTTTGCTTAAAAACGGAACTTTTCTTGCACTTCTTCCAGTTAGACCAGCTTCCCGAAGTCTGTGCGTCAGGCGATAAAAATTAATAATTTTTTAATTGCATTACCAGCAAATGGTCAAACTTTGCCATTGTTTTGCGTTTCCGTCCTCTTTTTTCACTTTTTACGCGTGTTTTGAAGGCATTAAATACCATATTTTTTAGCATTCCATTATGTTCGCTGTTTCAAGAATATTTTTTCCCGTAAAACATTTGCCGCCCCGCATTTTATTTATATTGTATAATAATATTTACTTGTTATGTAACAGTTAATTTCAACAAAACAATAAATAAGATCTCAATTTCAGAAAATTTCGTTGCGATCTTTACTATTTTTCTGTGCAAATTAATAAATAACTAAATTTGTCCCTATTATTTTTTCCAGCTCATACGTAGCACGCGCACTTAAAATTATAATTTTCTGTTGCAATGCAAAGACTATTGCACTATTGAGTGTTCAAATTAAGTACTATTTGATGGTTTTAATTTACAGTTAACTTCAATACTGTGACACGAGTTGTGAATGCAAATCTGTGCTAAAAAATATGGGAATAAAGGTGATGTCCCTATTATTTTTTCCAACACTGTATGTATGTACATATATAGGTATTGCGTGTGCTGTGCAAGCATATTTAACTTATGTATATTATTGTAAGCATTTGTGTGAGTGTGTGCGGTTGCGTGTATGCATTTATGAGTTTTATTATTTTAATATTTTTGCTGACTAATATATTTGTTTATATCTATTATGCAGCGATATTATTTAACACAACTATGTTGCACACACACACACTCTCTACAACCATTAAAGCGTAGTAATGCATGTGTATTTAAAAGTAGTCGGTAGTAACAAGTAGTAATATGTTCATAATTATTGTATATAAAATTATCCAAGTACCTACTTGCTGTGGCGGTGGCGTTGTTGTAACAACATATGAATTTCCATTGCGTACAGACAATTTTAAAACTAACGGCAGCATATAAACAACATTGGTTCGTTGTGTAATCTTAATGGCGCGATAAGTGCTGCCGCTTATAGCCGCGAAACGCTAAATATTGCATTTGAAAATTATTAATTCCACAAATATGTATGCATTATATACCCTGTATATATATACATATGTATGTAAGCATAAAAATTATGCACTAAGCTTTCTGTTGTGTGAAAAAACTAATGTTTACATACATATATCCCATCCCTACATCCATTTCCATCGTTACACCCGTGTGCTCCTCAACCACTCTTTTGTCGTCATTTAGTTCTCGTGCTTGTGTTCGTTGTTTATAATCGCCGTCGTGAGGCGCATATTAAATACCCTGGTCCGGATGATGACGTGCGAGAGAATATTATCAACTATGATGACGAGGGTGGCGGCGAGGACGACATGACTGCATTCGATATTACACCGCTACAAATACCAATCGGCGGGCCAATGCCACCCGAGCTGGCGGCCATGAAAATGCCAATAATGTGTAAGTACAAATATCTGTAATAATTTACCGTTTATTTTAGCAAATCGTAATTTTTAATCCATAAATGGCAAATGAATGAGCGTTTACTTAGCTGTGCTGGGGCGGCTTCGCGTAATGCATTATTAGCCATTTTTGTGCAAATACTGTTGAACACACATACATATGTTATTTATTGTACATACACAAGTATGTGCAAACAATAATTATTTGGCTTAAAGCTTATTTCAAACTTTAAAAAAATATACTAGAAAATATGTTAACAATATTATTTTTTTTCCCATAACCTAGCAAAGAGAATTCTTATAATGTATAAAATTAATATAAAAAATTTTTAGCTGAATTTCAGAGATAAATTCTAGTCACAATGCTTTCATATTTTAATCTAATTACTTATGATTATACTTCTAATTACAATTTTCAAATGTTTAATAATCACTTTGCAACCGTAAGTAGCCAAGTAAAGTATCTTCAACAATCTTAAAGCAAACTCTGCAAGTTTTCATTTTGGCGAAACAATGCGTGCGTCCGTCTTCCACCCATAATCTTTGTATGCAAGTACGCTTGCGACAGCATTAAAATTGTAAGCAACATGAATTTGCACTTCAGTTTTGCTTTGCGTTGTGGAGCTGCGCCAAACACTGACACCCTCGGTTCCCTCTCTAGCACTGAACAATCTAAAAAATGTAGTGACACAGAAATTTTTTCCAGTAATGCGCTAAAATATGTTGAATAACAGTATGCCGGCGAACTTCTCCTGAGTTGCCTGCTAGCTTACAAAATTTTCTTACTCATCTAAAACTCGTACTAATTTTATTTCCATTGCTCCATTTCCTGCTCGTTTTCTTTATGTTCGCAACGCTGCAGATCCGGTGATGACGCTAATGCCCGGCCAGGAGCCAAACGTGGGCATGTTCATTGAGGAGCACAAAAAGCGTGCCGATGGTGACCCAAATGCACCGCCTTTCGATGACTTACGCAACTACGCTTATGAAGGTGGCGGCAGCACAGCCGGTTCGCTGAGTTCGCTGGCCTCTGGTGAGTACTTCAGTGAATTACTAAGTAAATTACAACTAAAAACACACATAAATATGCTTACAACAGTTCGTAATTTCACATCGTTTAGTGTATATTTATTTATGTTTTCTATATACTTTTACATATTTCAATATACTCTTATATATAAGGCAGCACTTTTATGCTTTTGCACCCAATATTCGCTCCATTAGAACTTATTTAATTCATTAGCTAATAGATCAGATTAGAAATTAATGCCAGTGAAACATATACACATACCTATGTAGGTAAAAATACAAGCAAAAATTTTTTTTTTAATTTGAAGCGATATAGATTCGTTTAAGAGTTTACAACTTACATCGAATGGTTAATAAAAAACTGTAAATTGGATATTATAAATATATATTAGGAACATATCGAGCCTTCTAAAGAATTATCAAATGTAACCATCATGCATCGATTCAAATGCCTTTAAGCATAATCCATATCTAAATAAATATAGAATACACAATGTCTGAGACTGCCGCTTATTGGAATAGTTAACGCTAGTCTCATATAGAACTACTATATTCAATTAAATTGAAAGGCAGTATCACAGGAAAAATCCGTTCAAATTGTTCGTTATACAACAATTCATATTAACTTTTTTTATAGCACGTTTTAGTAAAGTCTTGGCTCATAAACTTATGTAGTAATCCATTGGACACCAAATTTCAATTTCAATTTGGGCGGTGGAATTCCCCGTGAACCTGGTGAATTCAAAACGTCTGTTCGCTAATTGACTGGCTGCTTCTGTTGCATAACATTGCCTAAACGGAAGATGCCTATTATAATTTAAGATTTAGCAACCCTCAGAACGATTCGACATACGAGCGCTGTTTGTGTTGTTTACAGTTATTAAAATGTTCATCTTGGCTAAAAAGTGGAACTAAATCGCGAACATTTTCGCGCGATTATTTTTTACAACTTTTTACGTGGATTAAATCAGCAACACCGCATCGATGAACTTAATTAAATTTTTGGTGATGAAGCTCTATCAGAGACCAGTGTTTATCGATGGTATGGTGAAATCAGTCGAGGTCGTGACGACCCAAGACGAATTTCGTAAAGGTCGTCCACAATCTGTTTTTTTGGAAAAACTGGACATGTCGCAATCATGTCACCATTAGAACAACGCAGAACAGTAAATTATAAGTGGTAAAAACCATTCGTTTGGCAGTTTTCTTTCAAGAAAAACGGATCACTATACACGACGACAATTTTAAGCACTCAAAACATCGATTTGATGAGTCATCCACCATATAGTCCTGATGGACACCAATGAATTAGTTTTATTCTCGTACCTAAAAAATAAATTAAGAGCACGGCAAAGCAGCGATTTGACAATTGGTTCTGACTAATGCCAAACTGTAATGGTAGATCTTAATGAAGAATATTATGAAAAACAATAAAGAGTTTTTCGCTTATTTATTATTTGTTTTTGATCTTTAATCCGCAATATAATGATGTATCTTATATGTGACGGCTTATCTTTGAATGTGGGTAATGGGCGCATTCTCTTTCGAAGTAAGGATACCTCGCTCACGTAACCAATCATGACTCTACAGTTTGTTCGGAGAATATTTCTTGAAACAATACTTTATTCGATCATCATGCAATGTAATCATCATTTCTACTGCTGCTTAATTGAGTGCATTCCTTTTATGAAGAAGATCTGCTAGTTGAAGATAAAAGATCTTCCGGCGAACGGGACACCGGCTTTCTTAATAACTTGTCTCATAACCTTGAATGTTGGAAATGTTTCGATCGATCCAGAAAAGAGTTTTTTAGTAGCAGAAGTGATTATAACTTGACTTTGCATGCGCTGCGCTATTAAATTCTTATATCTTGCAATAATGCATACATTACTCAAAACACACAAGGCGAATAATAATGTAATACTCAGCTTGATTTTACCGAAATGCAAGACGATTTTGATCCGAAGGATGAACTCAAAGGATGAAATCAAAAATCGGTATCCTCTGTTCAATATATGATGAGTAGATCCAAACACTTAGGCGTTTGGGAAACGTTGTGTCAAAATTTTAAATCAATTGAATTCATTAATATTGATTCCACTTCAAACGGATTTATGAAGTATTATTATTAGTTAGCATAGCTACATAGTAGAGATAAACTTTATGAAATATTCTTGAAATATATGTGATATACATACTATGGGATCTGAAACTATAGATGAACTTAAATGCAGACCTTGATTTAGATTAGCCAAATATACAACCATCTAATACACCAATTGCTAAAGCCCTGAACTATACAGATACATATAAATACTAAACTATTCTGATACACAGTAGTAAACAGGTACAATTCCAAAGAACTATTCAACAGATACGGTACCAATTAGCTAGATCATTATGTAAGGTGTATAATTTAACTAGCTATTTAAATAAGTATTAACAAGCCGTTAGCTAGCTAGTCCATATGTAGTTCATTTAATATGGCAATCCATTGCATAATTCATGTTCAAAATATGTTTTCCATTTTAAAATTACAGGACTGCGCTCCAATACTGCTGAATATTGGGTGTAAAAGTGAGCAAACAGATATTTATTAAGAAAACCACCTACATGACAATAAAAATACAAAAGTTAATATACTATAAAAATATTGTACTTTTTATATTCAGATTATTTTATTTACGTACCTACATATGTATACAGACCAAGGCTGAAGAAATGGACATTTAGATATTTTTCGTTGGAGAATAAATCAAAATAAATATGTATATATAGATCATTATTTTTTCCATACTTTTAATTAAAAAGGAGGGGGTGAGGATTGCCGAGTGTGGGAGTTTTTCTGAAAATCATTTCTTTATTAGATTGCCTAGCCAGAAAAATCTATCTAAGCGGTAATATACGCTAACTAGTTCAGGAGTGCTCACGCCGTAGCTCACTTAGCTCCCAAAAACATCTAGTCGACTTAGTTGAATTGAAATTGAAACAACTCGACTACGTCACAGTTTAACTTCTTTGGCATTGTAAATTACAACTAATTTCCATTGAACTTGTAACAAAAAAACTTTTGATTTGTAACAAAAACATGAAGAAACGTTAACTTCGGCAGCACCAAAGCTATACTACCTTTCACAGGTGCGTTTGTTATAGCATAAAATAGTATAAAAAAGCTTTATTCTGATTTTGATCGGTCAGTTTTTATGGCAGCTATATGTTATAGTAGTCCGATCTAAACTATTTCTTCGGAGATTGTATCTTTGCTTTGGGAGAAACGGACCCTTGCAACTTTCAGATCGATAACTCATGAAATGAGAGTATACTTGACGTATACCATATACAGATAGGCGAACAGACAATCGGACATGTCTAAATCGACTCAGCTGACGCTGATTATTTATATATTATAGATATATATATATGTACTTTATAGAGTCTTCGATGTTTCCTTCTGGATGTACAAATTCGTAAACCAGCGATGCTTCCCTTTAAGAAATCCTCTTACCATATTATGGGGTTATCTAATCTAAATGGAGTAGTACTCACTTAGAGTTGCTGAATGTATGATGGTTAATTTAGTATATATTTATATTATAATATATGTTTTTGATATACAACACTTTTTTCATTTGATGTTGTAAAAGTTTAAGGAAAATATTCTGGACCCATTAAATTAGCATACCTCATAATTAAATCATTTCTGAGCTTTCTGACGCAGCGGTGTATAAGGCGTTTTTTCTTTATATGTATGTCTTCCAATTTTATCGCTTACGAATTGTTATTTCGTCTGGTCGGACTTTAGTGTCCTGAAACTTTCAAAAAAACGATACGACCACTTCAGGTAGTCTGGGATATAAGTATATATAAGAATACTAATAGATGTATTGCTAAGAATATGTACTCTTTTTGTAAGTTAACTATATATTTGTTTTGGGTGTCAGTGTTTGCTTTATACAAGTAGACATACCTTTATATATAATAGTATATGTATACGATTCTGCGCGAGGTATTCTACCGGGCATTATTTTCTTGAAAAAGAATTGCACTTGCTCTACCCGCTAATAAATTATTTTACATTATTTCCACTATTTACTGCAGGCACTGATGATGAGGCGCACGAGTATGATTACTTGGGCTCGTGGGGGCCACGCTTCGGCAAACTGGCCAACATGTACGGCGATGAAGTGAACGCTGCAGCTGCACACCCCGAATTAGGATTGTAAAAACATAGAGGACAAAAACGGAAAAATGCTCTATAAGTACTGCAAAAGCAGCGAAATACACATAAGAATAAGGAAACCCAAACAAAAATAATGATGAAGATGAAAATGCAAATGTAAACGAAAACGAATATAAGGACAAAGAAGAAATATATAATGAGGGAAAGATTTGAATGGAAACTAAATTAAATTAAATATAAAATAGTGTAGTGCAACCAAAGATACTTGTAGAAGTGAGAATAGAAATCTGATGTAGAGGTGATTGAATGGAGCTCGCGAAACGAAAACCAACAAATTATGGAAAGTTAAATTAGCGACGACAAAAATGTCATTTGTAAAAAAAATACTCATCCCCATACTAATTTTATATAAGACTATTACTGTACGCTAAATTTAGGCAGAGAGAAAGTTAGGGAAGGTAAACTAAAGGCAAACAGATTTGCAGACTAGCAAGGTTCTTTCATAAGGGGCAGGCAAGCCAAGTCGCAATACTAAACTGTTAAATTAAACTTGCGGGCACGAAATATAAATGTTAATGAAACCAAAGTATTTAAATGTAAGGAGGTAAGAAAATAACACATACATACATACAAAACACATATGGAAACAGTAGACGAAAAAATAACACATGAACATAATATACTCATCATAGTTTTATAAGTACTGTACATTTCCTTTTTGATATTATTTATTACTATTATAATACAACTATTTAAGGCGTATACTTAAAATTTAGATTTAATTAAAAGTTACACAGTGTACGTGGGTGCAGAGCAAGCAATTATGCAACACGGGGGAGTCAAGAATAGTTGCAAATTGTAACCTTAACGCTTCAAAAGTAGAAGCTAAAAGAAATGGAAGTTATATGTATAAGAAATTGCTATAGTCAAATAAGTAATGTTGCACGCATACATATTTAGTAATTATAGCATTTTTTAACAACAAATCACAACTAAAAGATCAATTCATCGCAACGACAAGCAGTTATAGGCCGGAATTGAGTTAAATTTTGCAATGGATGTTAAAACATATATACAAGTTATTGTATGTATATTTATATATTTGAAAGTGATTGTTGAGAGTACATTGATAAAGAAATTGAATCTTGTTGAAATATCTCAATTTTAGAGAAATTAAATATTTCGTTAGACCAAAACCATATTTTGAGAGTAAGTATGGACACACTCGAGAAGTATATACTACGAATTAATTTTGCATAACTTTCATTATGTTTGCTGAGAGTGAAGTTCAAGCTTTTCAATTTCTAATGAAGTCAAATCTTGAGTATCAGACTTAATTAAATTCTATTCCTTGTCTCTGAAAAATGAATACTACCAACCAAAAGCCTCTCAGGCAGACTTGACATTAAGTTGACTCAAGTTTTTATACTAATTCCACTATAGCAAATAGTCCTTTATATATAGCTGTATTTAATGTTTTGATATTTTATTCACCAAATCGTTTCTTTGCTGCTGGTATAAAACACATAAATTGGCATAATTTGTTGTAATTTATGCTAGCTTGAGAAAGCTTGAAAATTGTATTCAGTAGTAAAATTTTCGATAGGGGAATAGCGAATCGAACAAACAACTGATATAATATCAACATATATAGTGGCTTAATGCAATAGTGTTTGTTCCTGTTGAGGATGTTACTACGCTACGTCTGATTTTCACTAGTAAACTCTTTCACGAGAGACCGTACAGAATAGCGTATTACAAAATATTTTTACTTTTTAATTTCTACGTTTAACTCGAAATCCGGATTATCTCGTTCAAACCGGGACGAATGGTCAGATAAGGTTTTACCTCATAAATATGTCCGAAAACTGTTTTGGATTGAATTATTTTCGCTACTAAATTTTTCAAGAGAGCAGCACTTAAAAATAGTAAATACCGTACAGGGTAATTGAAGGCGGCTAAACTTTTCTAACGACTACTGTACTGAGAGACTTTCTTGTATGATGATTTGTTATTAATTATGCTTTAAAATCTTCACATACAGCACTTTCGGGCCAGAAGACACAAAAAGTACCCACAAACACACACTCAAAGACACCCTTATATATACATGTTGTGTATGTATGTATTTATCTGTATGTTTACAACAAAAAAAGCAAATTAGGCGAAATGAGTTAATGTTGAGCGTAAATGAAAATGTGTGTATGCATTAAAATTATTTAATTATTACTTTACTTTTTATGTAGACGTAATTATATCATTAAAGTGTATAATTAAATATAATTATAAACAAAAACATAAAATGAATTAAAATTTAAATTTAAAGTAAAATGAATACCCAAAGACTGTTTTCGTTCCATCAAATATGTGAAAGTGAACAACACGCATACATGCATACTTAACTTTAATTAATTATAAACACTGGGATGAAAAGTTGTACTATTTGAATAAGTAAATATACAAAAAATAAAAATAAATGAAAAAACTATACATTTGTGAAATTAAAAAAAAATTAAAAACTTCTTTTTTTACACAGCAAAAACAAAATTCGTAGAAAATGTAGAAACAAAGTTTGGATAACTAAGCTTGTGCTCTGAGGGGGTAGCGACTTGGTAATTGGTGGTATTAACCGACCCATATGGGTAAATTTAAAACAAGTATTTTTTTTTTTTAATTCATCTTTATCATGGTTTTTGAACTTATGCTGCCCTCTCAATCACAACTTCACAATCTATCGAAAACATGTTGAATGATAGTAGAAATATGAGCGGTGAATTATAATAGCAAAACAAGAAAAAACTAAAAGTCTCCTTCATACTAACAAATATCTAACACAAACTGAATTAAACAAATGCGCATAGCAGAGAAACATTTAATTAGACAAACTTGTATTACGAAAATGATTAAAAGCAAAAGTGAAAACCAACTAATTAACGCAAAACAATGAAAATGTAAACGTAAAAATTACCTTAAGGTGAACTTAGCGCAATTGAAGTAATGAATAATAATGGATAAATAATGAATATGATGAAAACGTAAATTAAAATTTATATATAAAGAAACGAATGCTATTAATAAGGAAGTGCATATGAATGTGTTGAAATTGATTTCACAAAACTGGCAGACACTGTAAATAGTTTTAGCATATAATAGACGGCAAATCCGCAAGCAGCCACGACAGGGGCTGTTTGCTTGTGTTCGGCACTAGTGTATTATGACGTAATTGACGCAAATAGTATTTGAATATAATTACACACAAGTACATATATAAGGGAGCAAATATGAAAAACTAATGGTTTTAAATAGGTCACACGTAAACCAAAAACAAAAACAAAGAATAAATAAATAAAGTAAGCAAGGAAAAGTAAATATAAAACAGTATTTATATGTTTAACAATTAAAGTAAATTAAATAGATTTTAGTAAAAATGAGGAGACAAAATTTAGAAATTAAAGTACACTTAATTAAAAAATGCATCACAATATCTTACTAAACGATTTCAACTACATGAGAATGATGCTGTTGAAACGGAATACCATGTATGTATTAAAGAATCGTTTATATAATGAGATTATTCGTGAATTCAAAAATAGCACGACAAACACATTTAACAACAACACCATGCTAACGAAGGTAATAATACAAATAACAATAGACAAGAAAAGAAACAAAAAATAACAACAAAAATAAAGTAGTATAAAAAATTTATTAAATTACAGTTAAAATCGTGCGTAAAAGTAAAAGTATTTTCAGTTGAAATGCAAACACTCGGCGAAAGAAGAACAAAAGCCTGTAAAACTAAATAAGTAACAATTCAATTTTAAAAACTAATTATTAAAAGGCTATAAATGCTGAGGATTGAAACGAATACCAAAAAACTGAGTTGATATGTTTCAACTGCAAGCATACATGAATCCAGATTACATCATAATTTTTTCTAATATTTTATATTTTTTGTAACCAAATAACTTTTTTTAACTGAAAATTATTATTTTTTTATTTTCATGGTTTAGGGCATCAAAGGAAAAGCATCAAGTTTCACATTTATGTTTAATAAATATATTAGTTATTTTTTATGAACTTGTATTTTATATATCATTATTATTATTAATTTTTATTATTATTTTAAATTGATAGTTTTACTTGCTTTTCAGTTTATACGTAACCGAATATATAATATATTCACTTTATAATTCAGGCTACATCTTATTTTTGCCATTTATTTTAGTGTAAAAATATATGTTTCACTTAAAATAATTAGCATACACAATGTTTGTTTTTTACAAATTTTGAATTAGTTTTAATGTTACTAAATACGTTTTTTCTAACAAAATTACATGTAATTTTTTTGATAATCACCAAATCGTTTGTAAATTACCATTAAAACCATTTCGTATAGTGTCTAATTTTCATTATTTAAAAATAAGATATACATATAGAAAATTAGCTTCAGCTAAACCACACCCAGTGCAATTTACGATTTATATACATACATACATACATATATTGAATACAAATATTTATACACAAAACATTTTACATATACTTTAACGTAGATAAGTTATAGAACATTCATACATACAAACAAACACATACATATACTCCATATACCTACATACTATTATAAAATCAAAAATCAAAATATTTATATAAAAATCAGAACTTAAACCAAGATATTTTTATTTAATAAGCAATTGTTTTTTTTTTGTTATTTTAGCATAACTGACATAATATGTAATAAATCATACAAATAATTTAAAAACCTTTTTTATCAAGAACATTCCCAGTCATACAGACATATGCATTAGAATGTTTTTACTTAAAACGACACGTACAATGTATCGTGAAAATAGCAATAACCAATGTAATTAAGTCAGCCAAGTTGTTAAACATGAGTCAACGTAGAGTTGTGGAAGCCGTATTTGTTACCTACAATCTAACACACTCACACAAGAGATCTTATTATTATGTTTGAACTCGATTATTCACACAATTCATGCTGTACGACTTTTGAAAATAAAATTGAATATTATCGGAAATCATATACATTTTAGTGTCATTTTTTGTATAGTTGGGCAGCTTCTCAGGCTTCAACAGTTAACACTGCTATTTTATTTAGTACGCCATAAAATCGCAGTGCTAAAAAGCAAAAACACAAGTAAAAAAGGCACAACCAAAAAAAATAAAAATACAAACCAAAAATAAGGTAAACATTCTTTTTGCGTATACACATCTATGCAATGCTGAAGTTACTCTTTTCATATACCTTTACAAGAGATTGTTTGATATTTTTCTGCGACTTCTCTTTTACAGGAAAAGAAGAAGGAAAGGTAAGTATTTCTCAACGAAATTCTTAGTTTGCTATTAACATTTCACAATTTGCGTCGTTCAAGAATAAAACAAAAACAACGTTAACTTTAACTGCACTAAGGCTACAATACCCTTTACCCTTTGGTAGGGGAAAAAAGGACGTGTGCAAAATTTCTGATAAATAACTCAAAAACTAATAAGGTGCTAAGGAGTATTGTTAAGGTACCACAGAAATGCTGATATTCATAGGGACTTAAATGTAAATACAATTGTCGAAGAAATAAGATTTGAGACAGAGGCCCACTACAAAAGACTTAATTAAAATGTGAATGAGAAAGCGAGAAATCTCGCCTTAGACAGATGCCTCTTTAGTCGCTTACGCCGAAAACAAGAAAAAACTTCCGAAGCTATAATACCCTTCACCTACACAAAGTTCCTTACAAGAACTTGATTCCGATCGTTCAGTTTGTATGACAGCTATAAGAAATAGTGATCTGATCTGAACAATTGCTGCGGGATAATACATTGTTGCCTTAAACAATAACTCGTGCCTAATTTCGTGAAGATAACTCGTCAAATAAAAAAGTTTTCCATGGAAGTACTTTATTCCGATCGTTCAGTTTGCATGGCAGCTATATGCTATATTGATCCGTTTCGACAAATGAGCAGCTACTTAGGGAGAATTGGACAGGTGCAAAATTTCAGAACGATAGCTTAAAAACTGAGGGACTAGTTTGCATAAAAACAGACAGACGAACAGACGGACATGGCTAAATCAACTCAGCTCAGCATGCTGATCACATATGCATATATTTTATAGGGGCTCTGTTGCAAACTTAATATTCTCTGTTCAGGGTATAAAAACCGCATCATTTAGCTGGTAGTTAGAATACCAAGAAATTCAAGGAATTACGAATTTCTTTGTTATCTTTGTAAGCTTTTAAAATTAAACTGCTTTTTATAAAACTAGTTGTAGTGCTATCAAACATTTGTAACGTTTTAAAAATGTTTGAAATAAAAAAAAAATTAAAAAAATATCTTCGCGCGTATATACAGACAGGGACGGACAGAAAAGCGAACATGGCTAAAGATTAGCTCGTAGGTTGGTCCGTTCGTGCAAGCAACAACTTGAGTAAATATTGAGATAACTTGAAGAAACTTGGTAGCATGTTTCTTGGCACCCAAAGTATGTTGGTATTGCCGATGGACACCAATAAAGTGCCATAACGAAGCACCATTTATAGAACTTTTGTGATAGAAACGCGTGAATCATGATATTCTTTGCTTCCACAGTAAATTTTGTAAATTACTGAGACTCGCATACTAGGCATGCTGTAAATTATATAACAAATTCAAAGGGTTATACATCGATTATACCAAAGATTGCTGTTTTTTCCAGCTGAATGCTGTTGAAATCTACGGATACAATTATATTTTTTGTATTACGGTTTTTAACTCTGTGATAATGGGGTTGACTGAAGTAACAAAAAATTTCAACTGCTACCAATCAGTTGTAGTTAAACATTCATGAATTTATTTGGGAAGAATATTAATAGAAACTTAAAAAAAAGAACTATTTTATTAGTAATTTTTAACTATTTTAATCAGTTATTATATAAAAAAACATAGAAATGTGAAAAATTTGTTGAACTCGTGGAGTAAAATCCCGTAATTGGGCAAGGCAAGCTACAATTTAGAGAGAGTAAAATAAAATTAAAGGTCCGAACATAAAAAGTCGAATAATCTACTACTCCTAAGAATATATTGTACTTTTTGAGTAAAATTAAATTTTTGAGGCGTTCTGTCATGATTAGGCGTTTGCTTCAGCCCAAAGTTGAACTAATTTAAAATACAGTCTTCATAACTACCGCAAGCAACCAAATGAAGAGTTTGTGGTATACATAATATTCCTTCGACTCACATCAAAAGCTTAATCTGCAATCTGCAATAAACATTATTTAAAAGCTATTTGATTGTCTATAAAACTTAGGCTAACTTGGTTTTAGCAAGTTCCAAAGGATTTAAGATCTGATCACAAAGGCTTTTTCGTATGAGTATCCCATCAGTAACTGAATTAAATTTTTCTGATTTTTCGTTTAAAAATTTTCAGCTGGTTAATTATCTGTCAGATCTTAAGCAGGTAATCCCATGTGGCGGCCTGTTTTTTAGGGAATTTTTTAAGATTTTTTTTTCTACGACCAGTAAATAGATAGAACTTTAAGTTTATTATAATTTTTTAACAAATATTTCGCTTCGAAAAAATGGGCTCGTACTTTTTCCACAAATTCGGGATTGGCTTATCTGAAACAAAACAAAATAGTGGTCTGTTAGCCTAAATGCACGAAATGGATTATTATCAAATGAATATACCAAAAATTGGACTTTTGGAAGACAATTAAAATAAAAGTGGCAAAATTTGCGTGTTTTTTTTTGTTTTTGCTGTAAATACATTTTATGGGAACTTTTGATTGATACTGATTACAGCTGCTGAGTTTACCAAACAATATTCTAGACATGTTAAAAACAAAAATTTTTAGGTTGGCAACAATGAAATTTCGACTGAAAATGGTTGTAGTTCGTAATACCCAAAAAGAGTTGGGTTGATCTAAAGTTGAATTTCTTCAACTTCAATTCAACTGAGTGGAGTTGAAAACCGCAATAGTGGTGATAACCGATCTATTTTCATTGTCTCGTCCATAAAAGTGTCATTTCATCTAGAGTTGTATGTATGTATATACTGATGTAGATCAACCAAAACTATGCTTCAGGAACGAACGGCATTTCATAACAAAGTTACGCCTACCTATTCAAATCAGGTTTATTATTTGTACTTTCAATAATATTTCCATTATGTTTTTCAAAACTCGAAACTAGAAGTCTTGTTGTTTGTCTTGGACAAAAGCCTAATAAAAGGATTTTGCAGTTATCGATATCTCTATTCAACGTCATTTTAATCTTAACTTCATTGGAATGTTTTACTCACATTTTGCTCTATTATATGCTGATACTTTTATTGTGTAGCAACTCTGATTTAAGATTAGCTGAAATCGAAATATACGTTTTCAAGCCCTAGATACAAAATATGGGAAGTTCCGAATGTGTGGCCGATTTTCTATCGAAATAATTAGTAAATTCGTGAGATACTGAACAGATTTGTTCTACTCGTATTCTTTATTTTATTAACAAGTTAAAATTTTTTCTCGGGTATAAATAAAGTCCTATGGATATATAATTGCAACCAAGGCAAGCTCTAGCCACTTGCAGTAATTTCTTTTCCATTTCTCCATAACACAGCAGTAGGCTGAAGCAATTGTTGCTGTTGACAAATCTCTTTATAAGCAAAATTTTAAAATTATTTCATAATACTTCATTTGAGTAGAGAATAAACTGTTTTACACACCTATATCACAACTAAAACTGCTACAAAAATACTAGAAATATATATCAGACTTTCTTTTCATTTTTCAAGCAAAATATACGACTTAAACCATACCACATTTCCAACCACCAGAGGCTACAAATTTGGTAACAAATATAAACTCAAACAAAGGTTGTTTTTGTAACCACAAAAACAACACTTACATCGATATATACTTCCGTTTCATTGGCATTTGATTCGTGTACAGCGACGTGACAATATTTTTAAAAATCTCCCACAAGAATTCCCATACTCAGGTAAACACGTGGATGACAAGCCACACACTGATAAGTATGGGGTAACAGGCAAAATAGAAGAATATACGAGGTTTGTTCAAAAAGTATTGCAAACTTTGAATTTTCGCGGGCTCTGAATGTTTGGTTAATTTTTGACAGCCGTTTTGCTCGGACGCGTTTAGGTTCGTCATCGATTTTTGGAATAAAAGGAATCAAAGAATTTCTATAAGATTTTGTGGGAAAAACAAAAAAAGTGTGCGAATGCATTCCGAATGTTGACTGTGGCATATGGTGAATTTTAATGGACAAAAGCAACGTTTATTGGTGCCACAAAATGTTCTCAGAGGGTCGAGTAGATGTGAACGACGAAAAGCGTGCTGGGCGCCCAAGCACGTCAACAACAGACGAGAATATTAATGAAGTGCAAAAAATAGTATTGGCCAATCGTCGAATCCCCATTAGAGACACATATCGATTGGTTCATGCCATTCGATTTTAACCAATGTTTTGGGTATGAGTCGGGTCGCCGCGTTTTTGCCAAAATTGCTCAATTTCGACCAAAAACAGCGTCGGGTTGACATTGCTCAGAAGATATTGGACTCAGTCCGCGACGGCCCAGATCTGCTGCAGAGGGTCATAACTGGTGACGAATCATGGGTTTATGGTTAGGACGTTATCACACTAAATTTTACACGAATTCTTTGATCCATTTTTTGGAACAAGCAAAAATCGAAGACGAACCAAAACGCGTCCAAGCAAACCACAAACAAACCTCGTATAGAATATTCATACCCATTGTGGAAAGTTATGCGAATTCCCATTGCAGAAATCAGAATATTTCCTTTAAAAAATACACAAAACTAGTAAAAATGTCGGAGGGTATTAAGTTATCATTTGTATTGCTTGTGGCGTGAAGAAAATCATAAAATACATCTAAAAGTAAACAAAGTTCCGCAGCCATGTAGACACACACCGAATACAACACCCTGTGGCATATTTACTATTTTCATTTTATTGCACACAAGACTATTGGTCCCGCAGGCATATTCGAAAGAACTTTAAACTCACTATAGGCTACCG